CGTTTGTGTTTTGGTTGTTTATATAAATAATAATATTATTTATTTTCTTCTTGCTGCTGCTGCTGCTGCTGCTGCTGCTGCTGCTGCTGCTGCTGCTGAGAAGGGAAGCTGGCGCTGCTGCTGCTGCGTTTGTGTGTAGAAGCAAAACCCTAAACCCTAAACCCTAAACCCTAAACCCTAAACCCTAAACCCTAGACCCCACAGTATAAAAACAAAACAAAAAGAGATAAAACTAAACAAAGAGAAAACACACATATTGCTGCTGCTGCTACCGCCCCTATATATAAATAATACATCCATTTGTTTTTTTTTTTTCTTTTTAATAAATAAAACAACAATTATATTATTTTATTTTTATTTTTTTTATTTTTTTTATTATATAAACTCTAGCTTATAGTGGGGCTGTATTGGGCCGCCGCAGGCGGCAGCGCTGCGGAGCTGCTGCTGCTGCTGCTGCTGCTGCTGCTGCTGCTGCTGCTGCTGCTGCTGCATTTGTTTGTTTGTTTATAATGAATATATTTTTGCTTAATTAATAAAATAAAACACAAAAAACAACAAAAATATTAAATAGGTTTTTCTGCTGCTCCGTTGGTGCAGCAGCAGCAGCAGCAGCAGCAGCAGCAGCAACAGCAGCACGGGCGACAGCAGCAGAGAGCCGGCTGCTGCAGCAGCAGCAGCAGCAGCAACTGCAGCAGCAGGAGCAACAGCAGCAACAGCAGCAGCAGCAGCAACAACAAGAACAACAGCAGCAACAGAGAGAACCTTATCTCTTTTTATTTGTCTCCTTTTTCTTTTTTTTTTTATTTTTTTTTTCTTTTTTTTCCTTTTTTTTTCTTTTTTTTTTCTTTAGGATGCCATCAGCCCCCAGCAGCAAAAAACAACAGCAGCAACGATTGACATGAGCATCCTAGGGTTTAGGGTTTAGGGTTTAGGGTTTAGGGTTTAGGGTTTAATATAATAATTTATATAGAGATAAGTAGGTGTCTATACACCCGAAGAAGTGCACATACAGCCGACGCTAAATACAAGGATGGGGGCTGTTGATCTGCCTCTGTCTT